AAGGCATGAGAAATGTAAGCGGTGGCACGCAGCCTGTGACACAGCCAGCCACACGGCCCACGCACCTAGAAGGTCACGCTACGCCAACAGAGTGTGCGTGTGCGTGTGTGTGTGTGTGTGTGTGTGTGTGTGTGGCGGGGGGAGCCCTTTTTTTTTTTTTTTAACTGTCGAGTTGTTTGAGTGTCTTGTGTATTCTGGATATTGGTCCCTTGTAGGGTGAACACTTTGTAAACATTTTCTCCCGTTCAACAGATTGTCTCCTCATTCCGTTGATAGTTCCCTTTGCTGTTGTGCAGAAGCTTTTTGGTGTAATATTGTCCCATTTGTCTATTTTTTATGCCCTCGCCTGTGCTTTTAAGGTCTTAGCCATAACATCTTCGCCTAGACCAATGTCCTTAAGTGTTTTCTTCTAGTAGTTTTGTGCCTTCAGGTCTCACTTCGCCTCTTTAACGCACCTTGAGTTGCCTTTTGCAGGTGGTTGGAGAGAGGAGTCGTTTCATTCTTTGCATACGGATGCAATTTTATTGAAGAGGCTGTCCTTTCCTCACTGCGTGTTCTGGCACCTTTGTCAGAAATCAGTTGGCTGTAAGCATGTGGATCTCTGAATTCTCTCTTCTGTTCCAGTGGTCTGTGTCTGTTTTTATATGAATGTGATGCTGTTTTGATGACGATACTCTTACAGTATATTTTGAAGTTGGATAATGTGATGCCTCCGGCTTTGTTCTTTCTGCTCAGGATCGCTTTTTCACTCCATAAAGATTTTAGGATTGTTTTTTCTATTTTATTTTTTAAATTTTTTATTTATTTATTTTTTGAGATGGAGTTTCACTCTTGTTACCCAGGCTGGAGTGCAATGGCGCGATCTCGGCTCACCGCAACCTCCGCCTCCTGGGTTCAGGCAATTCTCCTGCCTCGGCCTCCCTAGTAGCTGGGATTACAGGCACGTGCCACCATGCCCAGCTAATTTTTGTATTTTTAGTAGAGACGGGGTTTCACCTTGTTGACCAGGATGGTCTCGATCTCTTGACCTCGTGATCCACCCGCCTTGGCCTCCTAAAGTGCTGAGATTACAGGTGTGAGCCACCGCGCCCGGCCCTGTTTTTTCTATTGCTGTGAAGAATGATGTTGGTATTTTGATACGCACTGCATTGAATCTGTAGATTGCTTTGGGCAGTACGGTCATTTTAACAACATTAATTTTTCCTGTCTGTGAGCACGGGACCTATTTCCACTCGTTTGCATCATCCTCAGTTTCTTCCATCAGTGTTTTGTAGTTTTCCTTGTGGAAATCTTTCAACCAATTGGCTAAATGTATTCCTATATATTTTATTTTTTGGTAACTGTTGTAAACGGAATTGTCTTCTTGATTTCTTTGTCCGCTATTTCATTGTCGGTGTATGAAAGCCCTACTGATTTTTGTATGTTGATTTTATATCATGGAACCTTCCTGAATTTAATTACCAGATCTAATAATTTTTTTTTTTTTTTTTTTCTGAGACGGAGTTTCGCTCTTGTTGCCCAGGCAGGAGTGCAATGGCGCGATCTCGGCTCACCGCAACCTCCGCCTCCTGGGTTCAGGCAATTCTCCTGCCTCAGCCTCCTGAGTAGCTGGGATTACAGGCACGTGCCACCATGCCCAGCTAATGTTTTGTGTTTTTAGTAGAGACGGGGTTTCACCATGTTGACCAGGATGGTCTCGATCTCTTGACCTCGTGATCCGCCCGCCTCGGCCTCCCAAAGTGCTGGGATTACAGGCGTGAGCCACCGCGCCCGGCCCAGATCTAATAATTTTTTAGTGGAGTGTTTAGGTTTGTCCAAATATAAGATTATATCATCTTCAGAGAGGGACAATTTGACTTACTCTTTTCCTCTTTTTTTTTGCCTTTTCTTTCTTTCTCTTGCTGATTGCTTTAGCCAGGACTTCAAGTATCATGTTGAATAGAAGTGGTGAAAGTAGTTATCCTGTCTTGTTCCAGATCTTAGAGGGGTGACTTTCAACTTTTCCCCATTCGGCATGATGTTAGCTGTGGGTTTGCCATATGTGGTCCTCACTGTGTTAAGATATGTTCCTTCTATGCAATTTTATTGAGTTTTCATCATACAGGGATGTTGAATTTTATTAAATGCTTTTTTTCTGTGTCTATTGAGATGATCATATGATTTTTGTCCTTCATTCTGTTGATGTGATTTACATACTGATTTACATATGTGGAACCATCCTTACATCCCTGAGATAACTCCCACTTGATCAGGATGTATTATCTTTTTCATGTGCTGTTGGATTCAGTTTGCTAGTATTTTATTGAGAATTTTTGTGTCTATGCCCACCAGGGACATTGGCCTATAGTCTTATTTTTTCTTTACGTCTTTGTCTGATTTTGGTATCAGGGTGATGCTGGGCTCCTATAATGGGTTAGGGAGAATTCCCTCCTCTTAATTTTCTGGGAATAGTTTAAGGAGAATTGGTATTATTTTTTTCTTTGAATGTTTGGTTGAATTTGGTAGTGAAGCCATCTGGTTCTGGACTTTTCTTAATTGGGAGACCTTTATTATAGAGTCAATCCCATTTCTTATTATTGGTCTATTCAGGTTTTCTCTTTCTTCCTGATTCAATCTTGGTAGGTTATATGTACCCAGGAATTTCTCCATTTTCTCTAGGTTTTCCAGTTTGTTAGCGTGTATAGTTATTTGATGATTATAGTTTAAGTGTAATTATGCAATAATTACATAAAATAAAGCAGTAATACAGGGGTGGGAGGGAAGAATTAGCATGATGCTGTTGTTATAAGATACTTGCACTGGTCATGAAACAGTATCGTTTTATTTGAAAGAGGACTTTTATGTTAGTTGTAAATGTATATTGTGAACTCTAGGGCAATAAAGATACCTGTGTTGGACATGCTCCCAGGCATGTCCCAACTCTCTACTGCTTTTATCTGTTTAAAAAAGTTTTACGTTAGTAGCCATCAGGTTTTAGTTTAGATTGTGGGGTCTGGCTCCAGCCAACAGAGATGAGACACAGCAGTAAGGACGACCCCAGATGCGTTAAGTATAAATGTGTGTTTTCCTTTATTCGTTGTACTCTCCTGGCACGATGGCTAGCGGGGGTACCCTTCCTGCAGTACAGAAAGTAAAAATTGCATTGCTGAGAGATTCTTTGTCTCAGTGCTAATTTTTCTTTGTGGCACGGAGCATCGATTTCCAACAGTCAGGGCGTAGACAGGATTTCTCCAGCGCTTCTCAGTAGCTTTGCATGCTGCTTCTTACATCGCATGCAACATGTGTATTTCACATCTCTCCCCCTAAGCGTGATTTTTAGCATGAATATGAGGAAGGGGTGACTAAAGTTGAAGTCTAACTGCACGTGTGGGGCCCGGGCAGGTTCCTAGGCCCCTAGAGCAGGAACTTGGGATTCACAGCTTCTTGGGTCTTGGGCTACGGATTGGCTGGAAGTTCAGCTGTCACTTGAGGCAGGGACTTTGTACTTTTTCCCTAAACCACGTCAAAAAAGGCAGGCAGCCAGCCTGCCCGTTTCAAAAGGAGAGACCGGTAAGCAAGACCTGAAGATGCGGCCCCTGAGAGGAGAGGAACGCGCGAGAACGTGTGTCCTGGGCGGCGAGTGAAGCATGGGTGGCGGGAATGACGATCGATTCTGGTCTGGTTCCCGGAAACGAGACTGAGAATTGCCCAGTAACCATTTAGAGACCACTGATCCCCTTGGCAAGAGTTTTTAGTGGAGTTGCTTTTTTTTTTTTAATTTATTTATTTTTTTAGTGGAGTTGGTTGTGTTACCGGAAAAGGGAACCGAACCAGACCCCAAAAGAGGGTTCTTGGACCTCGTGCAGGAGTAATTTGGGGCCAGTCCACAGAGTAAAGTGAAAGCAAGTTTATTAAGGTAGCGAAGGAATCACAGAATGGCGGCTCCACGGACAGGCGGGGCGTTCGCAAAAGCGCGAGGAGGAAGGCGTCCGCCTGGGTGCAACGCTTGTTCATACGTGAGAGCGGCCGCAGCACCCCCGGGCTCGCACCGCCTGCCGCCTGTCCTGCCCAACCATCTACATCCTCATCTTTCAAGCGAAACTTCAACTAAGAATGCGTTTTGTTCTTAAGACACCAGCACAGCAGGACCCAAGTCCCGGGTCTGCCGGGTAAACGTAATTAACCTGTTCCAGCGACCATAAACGCCAGAGGCCGAGGGCAAGGCGGGCTCGAACTCGGGCTCTTCGGGCCCCGTCCCATTCACCCGGCAGCAGCGGCCGCCCGGGAACCGCGCCCACCATTCGCGGCACTCTGCCCCCGCCCCCCCGCCCGCCTTATTTTTCCAGACGAGTCTCGCTCTGTCGCCCAGGCTGGAGTGCAATGGCGCGGGGCTGGGCTCACCGCAACCTCCGCCCCCGGGGTCCAAGCTAGTCTCCTGCCTCAGCCTCCCGAGTAGCTGGAACTACAGGCGCGCGCCACCACGCCCGGCTCATTTTGTGTTTTTAGTACAGACGGGGTTTCTCCATGTGGGCCAGGATGGTCTCGATCTCCTGACCTCGTGATCCGCCCGCCTCGGCCTCCCACAGGGCTGGGATTCCCGGCGCGCGCCCGGCCTCTCTTTGGCACTTTGGACCGGAAGGGGCCTTCCTCGCGCAGGAAGCCGAGGCAAGGATCGCGCCGGCGGGGCCGTCGGGCCTGCAGCCGTTCTGTTCCGAGCGGATCGCGCGTCCGCAGCTCACCCGCGCCCGGCGGCCAGGCCCTGCAGCCACCCGGCCGAGGCCCGCGGAGGGGACCGCCTCCCGCCCCAGCGCACTGCCCAGGCCGAGCGCCGCCACGCTCGGGCTCGCGCCGACGGCGGTCACGACGGGGCATGCGCGGACGGCCGTGCCCGGAGCCTTTTACCGGGATGCTGGGCTGGAAGAGAAGCGGGTGCGCAGGCGCCGGCCGAGAGGCTGCGCTTGCCCGACCCTGGAGCGCGCGTGCGCGTGCGAGCCGGAAGGGGCGGTGCCTGGTGGCGCGGCGCCTGCGCAGTGGGGCGAGGCCGGGGGCGGGGCGCGGCGGCTGTCAGCTGACTGTGGCGGCGGCGGCGGCCTCGAGGTGACAACCGTCCCCGTCACAGGCTCCGGCGGGGGCGCAGGAGGTCGCCCGGCGCGTCGTTCTCGGATCGGCGAGGCCCACGGCCGGCCGCAGCACCATGGCGACCACCGTCAGCACTCAGCGCGGGCCGGTGAGGCCTGCGGGCTGGGGTCGGGCGGGGGCGGCGACCTGCGGCGGCGGGCGGGGCCTCGGGCCCGGGCTTCTGGTCGGCGGCCGCGGGCGGGCCGGCTCCTGGGCTCTCCCGGGGCACGCGGGGCGCCGGGCCGGCGGGAGGGGAGCGGCGGCGTCCACGCTCGGGGCGGGGCGGGCCGGAAGGATGCGCCCGCGTTGCGGGACGCTCGAGCTCCCCGGCGCGCCCGGGCAGAGCGTTGGGGAGGCGGCCCCGGGTGAGGATGCCTGCGCGCGGGGTGAGCCTCAGATGGAGGCGGGCCGCTCCCTGATGGTCCCCAGATGGAGGAGGGCCCCTTGCCTCATGTCCCCAGGTGGAGGCGGCCCCGTGCCCCATGTCCCCAGATGGCGGCCCCGTGCCCCATGTCCCCAGATGGAGGCGGCCCCGTGCTCTGATGGTTCCCAGATGGAGACAGCCCCATGCTCTGATGGTTCCCAGATGGAGGCGGCCCCGTGCCCCATGTCCCCAGGTGGAGGCGGCCCCGTGCCCCATGTCCCCAGGTGGAGGCGGCCCCGTGCCCCATGTCCCCAGATGGAGGCGGCCCCGTGCTCTGATGGTTCCCAGATGGAGGCGGCCCCGTGCTCTGATGGTTCCCAGATGGAGGCGGCCCCGTGCTCTGATGGTCCCCAGATGGAGGCGGCCCCGTGCTCTGATGGTTCCCAGATGGAGACAGCCCCATGCTCTGATGGTTCCCAGATGGAGGCGGCCCCGTGCCCCATGTCCCCAGGTGGAGGCGGCCCCGTGCCCCATGTCCCCAGGTGGAGGCGGCCCCGTGCCCCATGTCCCCAGATGGAGGCGGCCCCGTGCTCTGATGGTTCCCAGATGGAGGCGGCCCCGTGCCCCATGGTTCCCAGATGGAGGCGGCCCCGTGCTCTGATGGTTCCCAGATGGAGGCGGCCCCGTGCCCCATGGTTCCCAGGTGGAGGTGGGCCCACACCCTAATGGTCCCCAGATGGGGGCGGCCCCTGCACCCTGATGGCCCCCCGCGGTGGAAGCGGGCCTCCGCTCTTGTGGGCCCCATGGATGGTGGCAGTTTCCTCCTCCTCCCTTCTGCTGCTTGAGAGCAGTGGTGACCACTTCCTAGGCGCAGCTGTGTCCCCAGCTCCCCGGTTAGTGGCCGCTGTGTAAAGCCTCAGTTTCTTCATTTGCAAATGAGAGGGTAGGTGCCAAGAATTTGAAAGAAACTTCCTGTTCCGCATTCTCTCCTGAGGGTTGCCTGTCAGTGTCTATAGCATTCATACTGCAGGAGAGCTGCTGCGGATGGGCTCCTGGTGTGAGTGGCCTCCTGGCATGCGCGGGCTCCAGGCGTGAGTGGCCTCCTGGCTCACTGTTAGGTCCTTCGTGCATTGCTGTAAAGAAATACCGGAGACTGGGTAATTTCTAAGATAGGAGTTTTAATCAGCTCCAAGTTCTGCAGACTACAGGTAGCATGGCACAGGCATCTGCTCCTGGGGAGGCCTCTGGAAGCTTCCAGACATGGCGGAAGATCAAGTGGGAGCCTGCACGTCATGTGGCGGAAGCAGCAAGAGAGTTGGGGGTGGGAGCTGCCACACACTTTTTAATGACCAGATCTCACGAGAACTCATAATCACCAGGACAGCACCAAGCCGCAAGGTATCTGCCCCCGTGACCCGCACCCCCCCACCAGGCCCTGCCTGCAACACTGGGGATCACAATTCAGCGTAAGATTTGGCAGGACACAGATTTAAACTGTGTCGCTCACTGAGGCTGAGCTGGGGTGGGCTGTTGGGAGCAGTCCAGTTTTTATCAACAGCGGCTCTAAATGTGCCGTGGGTGGAAAAAGTCCTTTTCCACTATGCTGCAAGGTCCTTGCACCCATGCAGCCAGTACTGGACGTGGTGGAGGGGTCCCTGGGCTCCCCGCAAGTCCTGCTGTTTCTCCTAAGGAGAGAATTCTTCAGGCAGAACATTTTTTCTGAGTTTAGAATGAAGCCCCAGGTTTTGAGCACAGAGGGTTTTTCTGAGGACTTTGAAGGAAACCTCCTGACACACATGAGACTCAGGCGTGGAGCCTGTGGGTCAGCAGAGGTCCTGGACGGCCTCTGATGTCAGCATCTCCACCCCTTCATCTTCACTGCATCACAGTGAGTCCCTGCAGGCTGCTGTGGCAGTGACGTGCTCCTTTCTGCCTCACCAGAGGCTCACAGCAACAAGGGAACCTGTACCCGCTTTGTGTCCTCCTGGAGAGTGGGGGGCACAGTGGCCAGGCAGGATGGCCCCTTCCCTACTCTGTGGTCTGGGAGGCGTCCTCAGCCTCCTGGGAACTTGTTCCTCGTCTGGAACTGCATTGGGGTGTGGGACTGAGTTTGAATTCATCAGGGGCTGAGCACCACGGAGCAGCTGGGAGGCAGGCCCTTCCTGTTGTGAGGGACCCCGACGTGCAGCGCTGTGGTGCCGGCGATGAGGAAGTGGGAGCAGCAGTGTTCACACATGCAGGGCCTGTGCCGACACGTGCTGAGGCGTCGTCAGACTCTCCTCGTGCCTGGTGCCTCCTAGGCTGTGTTTCTATCCTATGTAGACAAGCAGGTCTTTCAGGGGCACCCCCATTGACCTGTAAACACCCGGAAACATGAGGTGTGGCTCAAGCTGCCCGGGTCTCCAGGAAGGTGTTGTCAGCGCTGGGGGTCCGAATGCTGCTTGGAGTGCGTGTGACTTAATCAACCAGCATTACTGACTGTGGTGTTTAGGACAGCCACGGAGGGCAGCCACGATACAGGGGACAGCCAGGTGGTTCCTGCCATCAGGATCTCACAGAGCAGTGCATAAGGACAGTGGAGCCATGTGATGGCAGCTGGCAGGTCTGTGATCTTAACTCCAGAGTCAGGTGCTGGGAGAGTTTGTAAACGGTGGCCTCACCGGGGCTGGATGTTGGGATGAAGACGTGACACCTCATCTGAGCTTGGAAGAGGAATGCGAGTCGGGGTGGGCTGAGAGGGGAGCGCACAGAAAGAGGTGTGGAGTCTGGAGGTGGAGAGGAGGGAGCCCAGTGGGTGAGGATGGAGGGAGGTGGGGAGGAGGGAGCCCAGGGGCCGAGGATGGAGAGAGGCTGGAACTGGTGGCTGCAGGAGGGTTTTGGGCACAGGAAGGCTGGACTTGGCCCTGAGTTCATCAGGTCAGTGCAGCACTCTCTGTGAAGTGTTGCCCGCACATGCCCACTTCAGGGCTTGCCTTGGCACTGGCCTGCCTCACTGAACATGACCCATCCAGCCCCTCGGGATGAGCTCATGCTGGGCCTTCGGCCGGTTATTAGCATCCAGAGGAAATCCTGCTTTTTCAGGACGTTTTGACAAGACATTTATCGTGTCCTCTTCTTTCTCTTAACTTGTGTTGCTGGGGAGGCAGGAGGTTAGGCGGGGTGTTCGGCTTTCCAGCAGAAAGAGGTGCTACCCAGGGCCCGGGGCAGGTTCCGGCTCAGGAGACCCTGACTGTGGTCCAGCTGCTGCCTCCCCCTAGTGAAGAGGGGTGACCGCAAGGTCCCATGGGCCGTGAAGGAGCCGAGGGGCTGCTCATGGGGGCCTGGGAGGGTTCTTTTGTCCTTGGGTAGAGGGAACTTCAGGGGCCTGGCGGGTAGGTGTGGAGATGACCTGTGTAAAGCTAGCCAGCCCGACATCATTCTGAAAGAGTCACACAGTGTTTATATCTCCAGGATTGTGTTTCCCCAGTAGCCACTAAGGGATGCTTCAGCCTGTGCATCGTTTGCCTCACTTTTCAGAAATGCCAGTATTTTGGAAAGATAACCCTTTTTCAGTGCGGTCTGTACATTGTCAGAAAGCGTCAGTGAGTGCCTGCAAGGAGTCGGCCCCGCCTTCCCTGGTGGGGACCCGGGCACTGAGGACTCCGGGCTGGCGGCCCCCCCTTCCCCAGTGGGGACCCAGGCAGTGAGGACTCCGGGCTGGCGGCCCCGCCTTCCCCAGTGAGGACCCAGGCACTGAGGACTCCGGGCTGGCGGCCCCCCCTTCCCCAGTGGGGACCCAGGCAGTGAGGACTCCGGGCTGGCGGCTCCGCCTTGCCCAGTGAGGACCCGGGCACTGAGGACTCCGGGCTGGCGGCCCCCCCTTCCCCAGTGGGGACCCGGGCAGTGAGGACTCCGGGCTGGCGGCCCCCCCTTCCCCAGTGGGGACCCAGGCAGTGAGGACTCCGGGCTGGCGGCCCCGCCTTCCCCAGTGGGGACCCGGGCACTGAGGACTCCGGGCTGGCGGCCCCCCCTTCCCCAGTGGGGACCCGGGCAGTGAGGACTCCGGGCTGGCGGCCCCCCCTTCCCCGGTGGGGACCCGGGCAGTGAGGACTCCGGGCTGGCGGCCCCCCCTTCCCCGGTGGGGACCCGGGCAGTGAGGACTCCGGGCTGGCGGCCCCCCCTTCCCCGGTGGGGACCCGGGCAGTGAGGACTCCGGGCTGGCGGCCCCCCCTTCCCCGGTGGGGACCCGGGCAGTGAGGACTCCGGGCTGGCGGCCCCCCCTTCCCCGGTGGGGACCCGGGCAGTGAGGACTCCGGGCTGGCGGCCCCCCCTTCCCCGGTGGGGACCCGGGCAGTGAGGACTCCGGGCTGGCGGCCCCCCCTTCCCCGGTGGGGACCCGGGCAGTGAGGACTCCGGGCTGGCGGCCCCCCCTTCCCCGGTGGGGACCCGGGCAGTGAGGACTCCGGGCTGGCGGCCCCCCCTTCCCCGGTGGGGACCCGGGCAGTGAGGACTCCGGGCTGGCGGCCCCGCCTTCCCCGGTGGGGACCCGGGCAGTGAGGACTCCGGGCTGGCGGCCCCCTCTTCCCCGGTGGGGACCCGGGCAGTGAGGACTCCGGGCTGGCGGCCCCCCCTTCCCCGGTGGGGACCCGGGCAGTGAGGACTCCGGGCTGGCGGCCCCCCCTTCCCCGGTGGGGACCCGGGCAGTGAGGACTCCGGGCTGGCGGCCCCCCCTTCCCCGGTGGGGACCCGGGCAGTGAGGACTCCGG